GGGTGAGGAGAGAGAGAGAGAGAGAGAGAGAGAGAGAGAGAGAGAGGAAGGAGAGGCCCTGTCTGAAGGTATAAATAGTAAAAAAAAAAATTAATAAAAATCATATCTCTGTTTCATTTTCAAGAAACAAAAACAAAACAAAAATGTTAAATACAAACTTAGCAGGTGCTGTGGGAATGCATGAGCATTAAGACTAACTCTGTACCTCCACACTTGTGCAGAGACACTCTACACAAGGGAATGAACCATTAAAAAGAAAAACCAGATTTACAGATAATCTACAAATCCGTTTCAGCATGAGCTTTCAGTACTTCTCCCTTCCCTTCCCAAATAATAATAAAGAAAAATGTTGATATCCAAAAGTCACTTGAAAGAGCCTCATGGCCCGAGATATGCCCGAGTCCTGCAGTGTGATCACAAGTACCTGGGGACAGACACACTGCAGGGCGCAGACAGCTGTGGTTCCTTCTCCTGATTCCAGGCAGAGGGACGGGCTGCGAGAGGGGAGTGAAGGCAGAGGCCCACACACTATCAGTCACCCCTCCAGCCCCGGATGAGGCATGTTCAGTACAAGCTCTAAACATGCTAGATTCTAAGCTGGAAAAAATTTTAAATGAACCAATCCATGGCTTGCCTTCAGAAAAGCCGAGTTTAACCCCATTTTTCTATCAGGGCAACTAACTTTGGCCCAAAGAACCAGGAAAAGAGATGCAGCACAGTAGAAGATGCTATCGCTTCTGACACTGGAAAGGTGACCAGAGCTGGAGACACTGACGGGTCAGGAATAAGGTGCCCTCCCCTCACTTTAATGCCCACCATTCACAATCCTTTGGCTTCCCTCCCCACTCAAGTCCAAGCAGTGCCTGTGGGGAAGCTTCACGCGTAGAACTCATTGGTGGGGGCTTTTTTGTAGATTGGTTTCTTGCCCAAGTCGTAGCTGCCTTCATCCTTCTTCTTCATGCGGTACACCAGCAACAGGATCAGGAAAACAGCAAAAAAGATGCCCAGGACGCCGCACACAACCACAGCTGGAGAGGAACAGAGAGAAGGTGAGGGTGAGACCTCCTCATCGAGACCTGGGGCCACACTGCCCTCTTGCACCTACAAGTCAGTTCTCTCACAGCCAGACACCCTCACCATCACCACTGCCTGTGCCAGGCGGACAGTGCCTTATTAAACTTGACCCTCATGACCTCAGCTATGACAAGGGGGTCACCAGGCACTATAAGCCATTGAAGACCACAGGGCTAGAGCGGCAAAGCCACCATCTCAACCCACATCTGCCTTGAGTCCAAAGCCCAGGCCCATTCTGAATACCAGGCAGACTCCCGGGCAACAGCTTACTAGTAATGAGCCAGAAACAAGAATAACGCCAGGCTGCAGAAAGGCCCTTAGACATAACTGATCTTAGCACAAAGGCACTCTGTGTGCGTACCTATCTAGGCCCACTTGTCTGTAGACTGGTAAATACCTCCTACATACACAGAGAACACAGCAATGTCCATGTACTGTGTTACAATGCAGATAATCACACATGATGGCTTACATTGCTATGCAGACACAGGCTGGTTTCCTTTCCCACCTCTCCCACCTACTGGCTATGTGACTGGAGACAAGTTCCTTGTCGCACCCACTGCAAAATGGATGTGTAGTACCTTTTTCATGTTTGTCCTAAAGATTAAACAATCTACCAGCTTAGAACAGTGCCCAGTGCACAATACACGCTCAAGGCTCATGAACTGCTAATCTCCCCGGCACCTGGAACCCGGAACCGGGCCTGCAGAACAGTGGGTGCTTCATAAACGGCATTCACCTGACTCACTCACTGAGGAGGGCATGGCCGGTGCCAGGCAGAGGTGGGCTTCTTGCCTTGGCTGAGCATCTGTTCTGTCCCCCACGTCAGGTGGCCTGAATGACTCACTCCTGTTTGTTAGGAACAAGCACGGCTCACAGAATCCTTTCTGTGGCAGATTGAGTCCCCTAATTCTGTCTTACTCAGGCTAAGAAGATTAATTTTCCATCCCTGCACATACTACAAATGTTGCACAGAATGGAGTGGAGTGGCACAAAGGAGCTCAGAAAGGCGCTTTCTTGGCTAAAATCCTATGAAAAGCAGCAACAAAGTACCTCCCAGAAGTGCCAGAAAAAGCACATGGGATATCTGATGTCAGCTCCACTCCCATTTCTATCACCTTGCCCTCCGACAACTCCTGTCACGCCTCAGTCTGAGTTGGGTCTCCCCACAGGGACAGGGTCCAAGCACAGGCTCTAAAGTTGACAGTGCTTCTAGGTCTAAATGCTTCCTGGCTTTGTGACTTGGGACACATTATTTAGACTCCATTTTAGGTTGTTATAGATAGGAGACATTCAAAAATCATATGGCATATAGCAAGCATTTCATAATACTCACAAGGGTTTTGTTTTGTTTTGTTGTTTTGGGTCACAGGGCTGGGGATATAGCTCAGTGGTGCCGCCGTCTGCCTTGCAGGCACAAGGTCCTGAGTTTGATCCCCCGTACAAAAAAATAAATAAAAGCTACTGGAATGGAGGGTCCCACCTCAGCTACTGAAAATGTACTGTCTCCTAAGGGTTTCATACTGATAGAATTCTCAAACAGAAGAGAGTTAAGAAGCCAAGAGTGGTGGTGGATCTCTGTACTACCAGCACTCTGGGAGGCTGAGAAGCAGAGTCAAAAGTTTTGAGTCCAGCCTAGGCAACCTAGCAAGACCCTGCCTCAAAATAAAAAAGTTATGAGCTAGGCGGGGTGGCTCATGCCTGTAATCCCAGCACTCAGGAGGCTGAGGCAGGAGGATCGCTGTGCATTGAAAACCAGCCTGGGCTACATAGTCAGTCTCAACTATGTAGTAAGGCCCTGTCTCAAAAAAAACAAACAAACAAACAAAACACCACCACCACCAACAACAACAACAAAAACAAACAAACAAATAAATAAAAAGTTATAAAAGGGATAAGGATGTAGATTAATGCAAAGGTCCTGGGTTCAAACGCCCCTATGAGAGAGGGAGAGGGGAGGAAGAAAGAGACTAAAGGGCCGACTTTGCTTTAGTTGTTCTTCTCTTACTATGAGATCCAAAGCCTGGGTCTCAGTCTCCCCATAAATCAGAAACAGCAGCTCAGACTTGGGTCAACGATTTTTAGATTTTTCCTTAGAAGCAACAGAACTTTTACTTGCTAAAGCAAAACCGAATCAGCAGATCTAACCCTGTAAAGATAAAATCTGCAGCTGGAAGATCCAAACCATGCCAGCTGAGAGTGAAACTGTGTGGCTGACGAAAGATGGGGGAGGATGGTGAAGTTCCAAAGTCCTTCCACATAAGCGCTGGGAAACCTCTAAGACGAAGTGGCTGAGGGCGCCTCTATTTCTGGTGGCCCATCCTCCTATACCCACCAACAAAGTGGTGAAGGAAAATTAAAGGAAACATTGGCTTAGATACCGGGAGGCCAAAGTCAGGGCTGAGCTAAGACCAGGCACCTTGGGCTATGTTCCAAGAGCAGCTCACTGGCCTGACACAGGTGCCGTTCTCCACCTGCCCTAGATGGACGGCACAGTGACGTGTGGCCGAGGGCCCTTCCCTCTACCTCAAGCCCACTCAGAGCTGATGGCTCGGCTGGGTTCCAAGAGACCGGAGCTCCCAGCTTGGGCCTGGGGAGTGCACCCACTCATCCAGTTCATCCAGAAAGACCCTCAGCTACCGCCTGTAAAACTGCAGCAAGTTGCCAGACATGGTGGCGGCCCATGCGTGTAGTCCTAGCACCAGCTAGGCTGCGGAAGAAGGATCACCACAAGTTCGAGACCAACCTGGGCTATACAGTGAATTCAAGGTCAGCCTGAACTACACAGTGAGACCTCTTTTCAAAAAATACAACTGCTCCTCTTCCCCCAAAGAAAGCCCACCAAACTGTAGGCAATCCCTTCCGTCCTCCAATAACTAGCTTTGCAGACCATGCCTACACCTAGGGCTGCAGAGAGAGGTTTGGGATCCGTCCCAGCTGATGATTCCCCAGCCAGGCTTGATACAGCCACTCCTAAAGCCTCGCCCTGCGACAGCATTTACCCACCCCAGCACCTTAGTCAAAGGCTCTTACCTGAACTACCAAGTATTTAACTTTCCTAGGCCTCACTGTCCTATCCTGTCACAAGAAGACATCCTGTGCCCCACCCACTGAGGGACAATACAGATTCAATGACAGATAATACTAACAATCGGAAGAGCTCTTTACAGTGAGCAAAATAATTTTATATTTCATTTTTCATGGGCTCGTTATATCAACTCAAAGGGGTCTCACCATACCCATTTTACAGGTGGGGAAACTGAGTCACGACTGGTTCCAGAAGAAGCTCCTCAGCCAAAGTCACAGGGCTGCCAAGCAGCAGAGTGGAGGGGAGGGAAGCAACCAAATCCTAAGGGGACTCTAAGCTTTTCAAGTGAAACTAACGTTTAATGATTAACTCCCTGGAGGCCAAACCCAGGCTGTGAAAGTGCTTTAGCTGAAAGAAGTTTCAGACAACTGAATAACTCCATGCCTATTTTTTAGAACCCTTTGATATGCGGTTCTTCTCTTGCACTGGGCTGCGAGTTCCCCTTAAGGGAACATAGTTTCTCAACAGCCCAGAGCTTTGGAGCCGCCCTGCCCCCAGGCCCTTTTTTTCTTCCTTCCAGGCCTGTCCAGAGTAAGGGGTCTCACCTGCTAGGACCTCCGTTTTTTCAAAGATGCTGCTCTCCTGGGCAGTGCTGGACATGGACACCTTGTTGGACACATCCTTCTCCCCATCAAGCAGAGAGACCTTCTTGGGGATGACTTCGTTCTCCTCCAGTTCTTTGGGTTCAGGGGGAGCCCGACTCCCAGGCCCCGTCCTCTCAGGGACGTGGTTATCTAGAGGGACCTGAGTGGGAGAAAGGAAGGAAACACGGACACTGAGTAACTGTTTTCAGACGCAACACTCTAGACAGAGAATCTGGACGGAACTACACGGTCCCGGAATGGGAACCAACAACAACTTCTAAAAATTAAACTTCTAAGGGCCGGGGATTTAGCTCAGTGGTTCGGTGGCCTGCTTTGCAAGCGTAAGGACCCGAGTTCAATCCCCGGTACCAACAAAATAAATTAATAAAATAAAAATTAAACTTCTAAAATCCTTGTCCTGACTTTTTCAATACATCTGTCCCAAATGGGAAATGAATCTGAACAAAGGCACAGGGAGGTGGATGTTCCCACACCACACAGGAGGGCGGGTGTTCCAGAGCAACCTCTCAGGAGGCAATGGGGGCAAAACCTTAGAAACTGCTTGCCATTTAAGGCAGTAAGTTTGTCTCTGGGACTGTATCCTACAGAGCTAAACCTGTGCGAAAACACTTGCTGCAGTGTAATCATTTTAGGATAGCAAGGAACTATAAACAACTTTTCCATCAAAGGGAGACTCAAGTGAACTATTACACACAGCCTGTAAAAACAACACGAACATTTGGGAAGTACGAAGGGCCACTGTAAACGGAAGAGGCAGTACACAGAACTGTGTACAACTAGAAATCAGTGCTGGGAAATGACGATCACGTGCGTAGAAAAGGAGCTGGTGTTGATAGTGATTATCAAAACCACTGTGCTGAAGTGAGGGACTGATTGAAGTGAGGGACCCAGATAAAAAGGCTTCTTGCAGAATGGAGTCACACCCTTCACTCACTCTGCCCCTGGGGGCCGTACTTTCTGCCGGTCTCAACCTGTGTTACCCAGCAGGTAGGGGGCAATACTTACCAAGGGTGGGATCATTTCAAGGATGGTCTTGGAGTCTCCTGAATCATCTGTGAGGTCAGAATGGCTGTGTGAGCAGGAGGTCCATTATCCCCAGTAACTGATCCCCTCAGCCACAGCTGGTGGGAGTCCTCCCTTATAACCAGCCCCTAAATGCTCCATGTCCGGCAAATGGAACATTCTCACCTCAACCTCAGTTACAGAGACTGAAAAAGGGAGCTCCTGGGACCTACCTCCCTGACTTTCACAGACATATGTGCACTGGTAGCTAGGCGGGTGCTGTGTCAGCTCTGAGCCCTGAATGCCTGAATCCCAGGACCAACAGCAACATTTGCAAGTTGCTACAAATGCAGAATTTCAGGGTGGACTAAATGAGAACTTATATTTATACTTAGGAAGCTGAAGTAGAAGGACCACAAGTTTGAGGCTAGCCTGAGTAAGTTAGTAAGAGACCCTGTCTCAAAATAAAAAATAAACAAGGCGAGGGAGTCATGCATGGTGGTGCACACCTGTAAACCTAGCACTCAGGAGGCTGAGCCAGGAGGATCACCAGGACTTGGAGGCCTGCCTGGACTACAAAGTGAGTTCAAGGTCAGCCTGAACTGTATAGCAAGACCCTGTCTCAAAAAACAAACAAAAATCTAAATATACAAAATAAAATTTAATTTTAAAACACACAATCACTGAGTGCTTGGTATTTGCCAAGAGCCTTAATTCAGGTCAGTCCCACAACACTGATGTACACTCATTATTACTCCCATTGTACAAGTTAGGAAACCCTGAACTCATGACTCTTTCTGTGTGTGTGTGTGTGATCCTCCTGCCTCAACCTCACAGAGTACTGGATTACAGGCATGTGCCACCACACCTGGTAACATGACTATTCTTGTTCTGTTTTGAACTCAGGACTGTGTGACTTCAAAGCTCAAATTCAGAATCATTAACTTGTTCTTAAGCATAAGAGGGAGGTGTCTTGGCAGTTATCTAACCTAGAGGCCAGAGCCAGGAAGTCAGAGCCCACGAGAAAGGCAGTGGCTCTGGTCTCGCTCAGTCACTTGCACTCGCCTCTAACCCCACCAAAGCAGAGGCCCCATTCACAGCTCTGCTACACATGTTGCTCCCCGCCCAGCACCACTTCTGAGGTAGTACTTTTTCTTTCCAAAGGAAGAAAAACACTTCCCCATCCCCACCCTTCCCTCCACCGAAGGGAGGAACCTATGAGGACAGGTTCAGGCTGGTGCCAGGAAATCCAGTGCTACAGTGAATTCAAAGTAATACCCAACTAGCTCTTGAAGTCTCAGGGATAGAAATGGTTAATTCAGTTCCTTTTGTTTCCCCTTTTGAGGCCAGGAAGGGCACTGTAGGGAACCAGCCCCCCAAATCCAAATCCCCAGCCCGGTCACCTTCCTTAGGATGGGGACACCATCTCCCCCCAGCCCATGCCCCTGGGAGCCCAGCATGTGCTCCATACCCAGATCTCCAGAGCCTGACAGCTCGAAGTCATCAGATTCCTGCCCTGGTCCCCCAATATCTTCATCGTCAGGTAGAGCTCCAGAGTAGTACTGGCCTTCTAGGAGATCATGGGGGTCGATGACCTCAGTCTCTCGGATCTAGGATAAAGAAAGGAAAAGCATCAGCCAATAGCCTGCAAGTGCTCTAGAACAGCATAGATGTAAACCACAGATGTAGATTTTCAGGGGACGGGGCCAGGTTCGGTGACTTGTAATCCTGGATCCTGCTCTGCCCCTGACTTGCCTTGCGACTTTAGGAAAGTCTCTTTCCTATTCTGGGTTGATAAAAATACTGAAAGTGCTAATAAGCAAATTATTTACATTACTAGGTACCATTTGCCTGAACACTTGCTGTTTGCCAAGCCCTGTTTTTAATAACTCTTGATAGTATGTTAACTTATTTGACAACCAAGGAAACTGGGCTTCCAAGATTTTATTTTATTTTTAATTGTATTTATTTGTTTAATTTTTTTGTTTGTTTGTTTTTTCAGACAGGGTCTCACTATGTAGTTGAGATTGACCTGGAACACATTATGTAGCCCAGGCTGGTCTTGAACTCACAGCGATCCTCCTGCCTCAGCCTCCCGAGATGTTAACTTATTTGACAACCAAGGAAACTGGGCTTCCAAGATTTTATTTTATTTTTAATTGTATTTATTTGTTTAATTTTTTTGTTTGTTTGTTTTTTCAGACAGGGTCTCACTATGTAGTTGAGATTGACCTGGAACACATTATGTAGCCCAGGCTGGTCTTGAACTCACAGCGATCCTCCTGCCTCAGCCTCCCGAGAGCTGGGATTACAGGTGTGCGCCACCACACCCAGCGGGCTTCCAGGATTTTAAATCATTTTTTTAAATGATTTAAATGACACAGCTGGCAGAGGGAGGGAAGACGGCACACAGGGCGGCCTGACTTCAGAGCCAGTGGTTCCCGGACACAACGGCAGCCCTGGAATACTGTCCTCCAGGCTCCTATGATGCAGCAGCAGCTGACTCATGCATGGCAGGGAGTGGACTATTGGCCCTGGTCTTGCCTAGTCTGGGACACCTTTCCCAGCTGAGTCAGAACAGAATGGACAGGCTCACTCCCACCCCAAGACATCCTCTGGCCAGGGAACTGCTCAGACCCAGTGACTTAGGAGCGCACTCCTTCCGTGTAATCTTCCAAACACCTCCCACAGATCTGTCCTGCTACTAGCCTGATGGAGAGCACAGAGAAGTACAGTCCCTGCCCTCACAGAAGCCTCACTCCAGCACCCCTAAGGGCACTCAGCTCCCACTGTATGGGAAACCTATCTGGTCATGGCAGCCTGAGGTCCACCCCCACCAAGCAGCTTTCAAAAATAAACTCTCCAAGGTCCAAGGAGACCAAGAACTTTCCCAGGACCCTAGAGAATACTAGTTACTCTGGGACCATCCCTAGCTCAGGTAAGTGGAAGACAAAGGTTCCCCCAGGAATGCAGGAAGCACTGGACGCCCACCCTCTAGCGTCTTGCCTTGAGTTTCCATCTGCCCACACAACAACCTTGAGCAAAGTTCATTACTTCACTCCCACAAGACAGACCCATCTTTCTAGATTCCGTAACTGCAAGAGGTGGGGGCCTGCTCAGAACCGCAGAACACAAGCTAGAGAGAGACTCCAGAGTGGTCCTGTCCTCCTTTCATAGAATCTGGGAATTAAGCGAACAATTAGCAAACGGCCTAAAGTCACACAGTGTTGGCTACATAGCTCAGAGTAAAAAGAGGCCACAGCCCCGTTTCTGAGACTGCCTCAGCTGTCCTTCACCCAGGGAGCCACAGCCAGGGACACAGCGGGGATTCTGAGAAGGGATATCTAACTGTCTGCCCCTGAAGCAAGAGGTCCAGGAAAGCCACTTCAGAAACTAGGTTCTTCCTGAACTCTCCCCTCTGGCTTCCGGGGAGAGGCAGTGGAACCTGGCCAGCCCTCTTCCACCCCCGTGGGGCAGATGCCGGATGCCCGGAAGGGAAAAGGGTCAGGCAGGGAGGAAGGCAGTGGGTAGGCATCCTTCTCTCCCCGGGGCAGGAGAATATTTCCAGAGCACCTGGCACACAAGCGGGTGGAGAGCAGGAAGGGGTTAAGCCCTGGTTAGGGATGACTTCACGACTCCGGAATCAGGAGCTGTTGTTGAGCTGCTGGCGCTGGAATTCCAGCCCCCGCACACAGCCTTTGCCTGTGGCTTTGGTTTGGCAGTGCAAGGAGAAGGCTCTTCCACGGTTACGCAAGGGCCTGTACCTAGGGTGGGGTCCCTGTGTTCCTATCCCTATCTCCTGCCGAAAATTCCCCTGGAGCTCAGAATCTCAAACAGCAAGGCCCTGTGGCTACTCAGTGTCAGGCCTTCACTACGTCACTTGGCATGACGTAGGTCCTCTTAAGAGGCCCTTTCTGCAGAGGTGGAAACAAGGGCTCAGAAAGGTAGTCACCTGCCTACAGGCCACATGGGCAGAAAGTGGCTACGCTGGGCCAGAACCCAGGCATGAGACACTTGGATTTTAGCCACATACACATAAACACATATAGGAACGTATGTGTGCATAAGGCTGCCAACCTACCCCAAACTAGACAGGAGCTTTACTACGGATCCTATGTAGCCAAGTGAGAGAAAGGAGGAACTTTCGTCATTTGTTGACCTGGCTGGAAAACGAGACTGGCTGTGTGTGTCAAAGTTCAAAGTCCTCAGGCCAGAGGCTGAGTGAGGTTCCAGCACAGGCCCGGGGATAAACACAGGCTGGGATTCCAGCACAGGTGTCAGCGACCTTTCCTATCCTGCCTCATCCCCAGGAGCCACGGAATGCTGTTTATGAGTCCAACCTGCCTTTTAGTATGTGAAAGTACTATGGGGCGTTTCAAAGCAACCCATGGGACTAGCACACCGATGGGTGTGAGCAATCACCTCCACTTTACCTTAGAGAAACAAAGACTAAGGGAGAAGGAGTGGGGGTCTAGATCTGGCAGCCAGGACAGTGGCAGAACTGAAGGTAAAGCCAAGATGATTCCCAGTTCTGCCCTGTCTGAGAGCACCCGATCGTCCCTCACCCTTCATTTTCACACCAGGTCCCAGAGGAGATGAACAGTTTTACCTAGGGTCACACAGTGGGTCCGTGGCACGGCCAAGATCAGATCCTTATTTGAGCTCCAAAAGGGAAGAAAGGTGCATGTACAAGACTTCCCTC